CTCTATTCCACGATTTTTAAGAATAGTTTTGAAGGTCTTCCAAGGACTCTAGGCGCCGATTTTCTCGAAGTGTTTGATGGTCTTTTAAGGATTTCAGTCATGGATTTTAACTATTTTTGATGATTTTTTCAGGGGTCTTTCAATCACTCCAGTGGTGGATTTCGAAGAATATTTCCCAAGCTATGGACTAATGTCTTGGATTTTTAAGGATATTTTTGAAGGCCATACAAGAACCCAAATATATTTAAAAAAAAATATTTTGGAAACTTTTCAAGCTCTTTATCAAGGACTCGACTTAATTTAAAAAAGAAATCAAGGCCTTAAGGACTTAAGTCATGGATTTAACTATTATTGAGGACATTTTGAGGGTTTTATTTTCAAAGGTCCTTCAATGACTTCGGAGTTTGAAGAATATTTCCAAAACTATTCAAGGACTAATATGGGGGGTTTTAAGAATATTTTTTAAGACCTTCCAAGATTTCCGTTGAGCACATTTGAAGGTCGTACAAGAACGCCCAATCTATCTTTACATAATTTTTTTGAAAAAGTCCAGTCTTGGTCATTTAACAATATTATTGAAGGCTTTTCAAGGTCTTCATCAAGGACTCTATTGGATTTAACAAAATAAAAAAATCAGGGCCTCTCAGGACTTAAATCATCGAATTTTTCTCTGGTCGTGGATTTTAGGAATATGGTTGAAGGTTTCTCAATGAATTTGTGAAATTTATCTTAGTGTTTGATGGTCTTTTAAGGATTTCAGTCGTGGATATTACCTATTTTTCAGAACTTTTTAAAGGTATTTTTAGAGGCCCTTCAATGATTTTGAGGAATATTTTCGAAGCTATTCAAGGACTAATGTTACGGATTTTTAAGGATATTTTTTAGAGCCTTCCAGTATTTCCGTTTCGTATTTTTGAAGGCCGTACAAGAACACCCTATCTACTTTTAAATAATATTTTTGAAGGTCTATATGTCGCGTTTTTATTTTTATTATTTTTTCATTAGGACTCAGGTTGTGGGTTTTTAGTAATATTTTTGAAGGCTTATTAGGGATTTTTTAAAAAGTTTTTCAAGTCTGGATTTTATAAAAGTTTTTGAAGGTATTTCAAGGACGTCAATTTTAAGAAGATTTTCTGAGGTCCTTTAAAGCAATATATTTGTCTATTAGGTCCTGGATTCCAGATGTGAACCTTTCCGACATATATCAAGGAGTAGATATCCTCTGAGGACATCTACAATACAGAAGATATTCCTTACGGATTTTCACAATTCATATAATATCCCTTAGAGGTATCTCCAACAAAATAGGTGTCCCCATATACAGATTAGAGTAGATGTTCCATGAATATATCTACAATACAGTAGATGTACTCCATAGTTGAAGTCCTTGCCTAGACGATGTCTATATACAATACTGCCTTTCAGAGGGGTAGTGACATTTTTTCTTTTGATAGGGTCACACGTTTGCTGAATTGCAAATATATTTCTATTTTAATTCTATTTTTTTCCTTCCTTCCTTCCTTCCAAACGCAACCACAATAATATCTTTCAAATAAAAATAACAAGAAAATCAATTGAAACCTCAAAACCATACAAGTGAATGTTTGAAAAAAAAAAAAAAAACTGATATTGAAAATATGACACAAATGGAAAAGCAAAGCAAAGAGCAGAGAAATAGACAAGGTTGGAACAATTAAAAGTTCACAGAAAAATTGACCCGCACCAACAGAAATCTCTAACGAAGGGCTGGTGGGATTTCGGATTTAAAAACAGCATTTAAGGTCTTCAAAGCTAAGGAGAGTAAAGCCCATATTTTAGAAACTAAAACTGGTTCTGGTGGGTGGTCAAAAACCAATGAGGATCCTGGTCGAACTCCAATGTTCTATGGTTCGCATTATGGTTAAAACAAGTTAATAGCGGCCCCAAAGACCATGTTTCGAAACGTTTTTGGAGCAGGAGAAAAATATTAAAACTCTACAAACGGAATAATTGGAACGAATAAAAATTGTCATAGCCCTAATATGGCATATGTTCTGATATGAATTTATGTGGGCGTCAATTAAACCCGAGTCACATGATATTTCACCCACCATTTGAGAGCATTTGGCACTTTACTTTGTTTATTTAGGCATTTCAACAATAATCCCGAACACTTCTGAAGTTTCAAAATTATTTGACTATTTTTTTTTCGTTTTTTCTTTAAAATTTCGCACTTGTTCGTTTTCACAAAAATTGTCACTCCTTTCAAAGGTCATTGACTTCTTATGGCACTTGTTTTTATTTTTTTTCGATTTCTGTTTTCAGATAATGCACTTTTTGCAATTTTATGCCCGGTTTCCAAATAGAATGGGTCTATATTTTGCAACACTCCGAACTGAATTAATTACAACTTCCGTTTCCGCTTTGGGTTGTCTTTTGTTTTATTCTCCCAAAGATCACAATGTTTTGATACGAATTTTGTGTTATTTTTTTGTTCCAGGCCTCGCCGGCGATACGAATGCGCCAAAGAACAAATGTCAACTGCTGCTGCTGGTTGGCCATAAATTCATTTCTGATTGGAAACAAAAGAATAATTTGTCGTACTTAGTTTTTTTGTCCAGGCTTTGTGTCACTGCCATTCGATATAATCTGACCAAATGGTGGAGAACAATAGCGAAGACCGGGCAGCCCAGCTAGCTCGACTAGGCCAAATCATAGAATTGCATTGTATAGCGTGTAAATGATAAGAGAACTTTGGGGAAAACGAACAAGAATCACAGAAACACACAAAAACGCTGGAAATGAATATCCGAAAAAAGAGACACTTGAAACAAATTATCGGAATATTGTTTTTTCATTTATTTTTTTGGGAGGCAGCAGAGAAACTTTGGGCGGGGAGGGGAACAGTGGTGAGAAATGACTAAATGAAGAAAAAAAATGAAATTCTGTTTATTAGTCTTCTATGTGGACATCTACAGGGAAGTAGATGTCCCCTGTGGACATCTATGGGGGAGTAGATGTCCCCTGTGGACATCTATAGGGGAGTAGATGTTCCCTGTGGACATCTATGGGGGAGTAGATGTTCCCTGTGGACATTTATAGGGGAGTAAATGTTTCCTGAGGACATCTACAAGGGAGAAGATGTCGCTTGTAGACATCTACAGTGGAGTAGATGTCCTTTACGGATATCTAAAGTAGTGTAGATGTCCCCTATGGACATCCACAGTGAAGTAGATGTCTCCTGTTGATATCTACTGAAGAGTAGATGTCCCCTATGGACATCTATAGTTGAGTAGATGTCCCTTGAGGACTTCTGTAGTGGGGTAGATGTCCCCTGTGGACATCTACAGTTGAGTAAATGTCCCTTGTGGACATCTGCAGTAGATTAGATATCCATTGTGGACATCTATAGTAGAGTAGATGTCCCCCGTGGACATCTACAGTAGAGCAGATATCCTCTGTGGATATCTACAGCAGAGTAGATGTCATCTCTTGACATCTAAAGTGTAATAGAAGTCATCTGTTGACATCTACAGTGGAGTAGATGTCCCCTGTGGACATCTACAGTGGAGTAGATGTCCCCTGTGGACATCTACAGTAGAGTAGATGCCCCCTGTGGACATCTACAGTAGAGTAGATGCCCCCTGTGGACATCTACAGTAGAGTAGATGCCCCTGTGGACATCTACAGTAGAGTAGATGTCCCCTATGGACATCTACAGTAGAATAGATGTCCCCTATGGACATTTACGGTGAAATAGATCTCTCCTGTGGGCATCTACAGTGGAGTAGATGCCCTCTATGGACATCTATAGTTGAGTAGATGTCCCTTGAGGACTTCTATAGTGGGGTAGATGTCCCCTGTGGACATCTACAGTGGAGTAGATGTCTTCAAAGGACATCTACAGTAAAGTAGATGTCTTCAAAGGACATCTACAGTGGAGTATATGTCCTCTATGAGCATTTAAAGTTGAGTAGATGTCGTCTATGGACATCTGCAATGGAGTAGATGTCTTCAAAGGACATCTACATTGGAGTAGATGTCTTCAAAGGACACCTACAGTGGAGTAAATGTTCTCTATGGGCATTTACAGTGGAGTAGATGTGCTCTATGGGCACATCTACGGAAGTGTAGAAAATCCCTATGGACATCTACGGAAGAGTAGATGTCCCCTATGGACATCAACAGTGGAGTAGATGTCCCCTATGGACATCTACGGAGAGTAGATGTCCCCTATGACCACTGCAGTGGAGTAGGTGTTCCCTGTGGTCATCTACAGTGGAGAAGATGTCCTCTGTGGACATCTACTGAAGAGTAGATGTCCTCCATGGACATCTACAGTCGAGATGTCCTCTATGGACATCTACAGTGAAGTAGATGTCCTCTATAGACATCTACAGAGGAGTAGATGTCTTCTGTGGACATCAATATTGGGATAGGTAATCACTTATGGCCAGTAGATGATAACTAATGGCATTTTCTGTCCAATAGATGTCTACAGATGGCATGGACTGCTCAGTAGATGACCGATAATGATGTCTACTGTTCCGTAGATGACCCATAATGACATATACTACCCAGTAGATTGCCATCAATGGGATCTATTGGCCTGTATATTATCAATATTGTCCTATAGATGACCATTCCTATACATTGGAGACAAATTATCTAAAGTCGATTCAGACCACTGTGGCTTGGATTCAATCGCAAAAATTAAATAATTTTATAAAATTCTCTTAGATATTTCCAAGAGCCACTCAGAAACAAATGGACGCCCATATATAAAGAGTCACTCACACACACACATCCACCAGAAACAGCCAAAAGATAACACTTAAAAGTAGAAAATATAAAAAAATCAAATTTAAAAACACCCCTTAATTGTACACTCGAAGAAAAAAGTATGATGGTGACCAGCATCATTCATACAATGGGCAATAACAATAAATATAAAAAATATTTTATAAATTTTATAAATAATAAAAAATACAATAAATATAAAAAATTCATTGGCTACTTACAAAAAATTCATCTTCAATCACCGGATCGGCCAGCATTTCAATGGCCTCCGTCATCGAACGACAAGTGCGGTTAATGTTTTTCTTCTTCTTCAGTTTGCGTCCCAGCGTGGCAGCATCACTGAAACGATGCAATAATTTCTCACGCTTACGCACAGCCAGAGGGCTTGTGGTCGAACTTGAGTGACACAGCAGTGAGGAGTAATTGCTACTGCCCCCGCCGCCAGCATGAATGCTTGCCGTATTGGCATAGTAATTCTGGGCCTGATACTGAGCCGGAGCCGTCAATGTTGAGGTTGAATCGATTTTCTGTATCAAATTATATTCAGATTGTGGATATTTACTGGGTATGGACAGGGTTGAGGTCGTGGTTACGGTCGAGGCAGACTGCACTGATGTTTGTTGTTGCAATAGTATGGGTTTGGGTGGCGGCGGTGGAGGTGGTTCCTTCATGAGGTTCATGCGACGGGGGGCAGCCCGTGGCAGGGTGGTCATCGATGTGGCATTGGTGACACCGCCATAGCTGACGGCACGACGATTGCGTTCATTTTCTTTGTCCCTGGAAAGAGAGGAAATTGAAGAGGAAAAAATTAGAAATTTGAAAAAAAAAAATTAAAAAATAAAAATTTTAAAAATATCAATAAAAAAAATGTGCAATTATTATTTTTTTAATATTTAAAAAAATATTAAAAAAATAAAAATAATAATTTTAAAAAATATCAATAAAAAATATAGAATTATTGTTTTTGTAATATTAAAAAAAATAAAAATTGTAAAAAATATCAATAAAAATATAGAATTATTATTTTCTTAATAATTAAAAAAATATTTAAAAAATAAAAATAATAATTTTATAGAATGTCAATAAAAAATATAGAATTATTATTTTTTTAATATTTAAAAAAATAAAACTTTTTAAAAATATCAATAAAAAATATAGAGTTATTATTTTTTTAATATTTAAAAAAAATAAAAATTGTAAAAAATATCAATAAAAAATATAGAATTATTATTTTTTTAATATTTAAAAAAATATTTAAAAAAAATAAAAATAATAATTTTAAAAAATATCACTTAAAAATATAGAATTATTATTTTTTTAATATTTAAAAAAAAAATAAAAATAATAATTATAAAAAATATCAATAAAAAATGTAGAATTATTATTTTTTTAATATTTAAAAAAATATTTAAAAAAAATAAAAATAATAATTTTAAAAAATATCACTTAAAAATATAGAATTATTATTTTTTTAATATTTAAAAAAATATTAAAAACATAAAAATAATAATTATAAAAAATATTAATAAAAAATATAGAATTATTATTTTTTTAATATTTAAAAAATATTAGAAATTATTAATAGAATTATTATTTTTTTAATATTTAAAAAATATTAAAAAATAATAATTCTATATTTTTTATTGATATATCTTAAAATTATTATTTTTATTTCTCTTTTTAACATTTTTTTTAAATATTAAAAAAATAATAATTCTATATTTTTTATTGATATTTTTAAAATTATTATTTTTATTTTTTTTAATATAAAAATAATAGTTCTATATTTTTTATTGATATTTTTTACAATTTTTATTTTTTTTAAATATTAAAAAAATAATAATTCTATATTTTTTTTGATTTATTTTTTTATTTAAAAAATATTAAAAAAATAATAAATAAAATTTTTAAAAAATGTCAATAAAAAATATAGAATTATTATATTTTTTTAATGTTTAAAAATTAGCTAAATTTAATTTTTGTTTTTGGATTGAAGTCTCGATATTTCCCCAAATTTACCTCATCTTCTTCCTGCCCGTGGGCGGACTTAAATAACAATTCCCTGAGAATGGCACAAAATAGCCCAGCTGAGGTGATGTGGTGGTGGGCGTCTGGTCCGGTTCCAACATGTTCACATAATGAAAGGAACCCAATTGGGGGGTTCCATTAAATAATATGGGCATGGAGGTCCTTTGATGACCCGTAAAATAATTAAAAGGTTTCTTTTGATATTTAACCCGCTGATGTGGTGGCTTCCTTAGGATATTATTGTCAATGGATGAGGTGGTCGTTTCTGTAGAGGCCACCGAATAACGACTACCATAAAGGGTGTGATGGTGATGATGACGTTGGCGTCGTTCTTCAGATTCAGTTTCTTCCTCCTCCTCCTCTTCGTCGCCAGCATCAGCACCATTCTTTTCCTCCTCATCGTCATCATTCGGACATTCAGGTACCGTGTAACAGGTAAAGTTGTGAGCTTGATAATCGATTAAAGCCATGGCGAATTTGATTTTTTTGTTTTCCAAGCGTTTTGGTTGTAATTTTTTTTGTTACGATTTTTGTTACAATTTTTTTAATTCCAAAAAATTTTTTTTGGATTTTTAGTTTTTTTTTTAATTTTGATTTTTTACAATTGCTATGTTTTTCTTTGGTATCTTTGTTCTTTAAATTGAGTTTTTATTTCCGTTTTGGTTCTTTGTTCATATTTCCCACGTTTGTCTTATTATTGCTACAATTGCCGGATTTCTGTATTTATTTCTGTTTAAGTTATGGCACATTTCCTTTCTTTGAAAAACCAAAAAAAGATCATTTTTTATTCTCAGAAGTTCAATTCGTTATGAAGCGGAAAAAGATTTTTAATGCGTAAACTATTATAAGCCATTGTGGCATTTTTATGTTCCGTTGTTGCAGAAGATTTATTTATCACCTTCTATAAGCGATATTTGCAAAGTCAATGAACTATAATTCGGTCCACTGAGTATGAAAAAAATTACAAGGACCTACTCTGACGAAGGCTCTTAAGCTATATAAAAAATCTTTCAACAAAAGATTTGCATAACCTCAGTGTCACAGGTTGGGCGCCACAGTTAAATAAAGCCCAAATATTAATGTGAATTCCAAAAAAAAAAAAAAAAAGTAAAAAAGCTGCAAGTTCGACCGGGCCGGGTGAATACCCTCCATCATTTGGAACGAATTTGGCAATTCTCAAGAACAATAAAATCCGTTAAAAATTATGTTAAAATCTTAAAAATACCGAATGTAGCTGTTATATTAGGATCTATACGTCGACATGGGCCTGCATAGACAATTTTTGTCAAAAGTCATTACAATATATTGAATACGAACAAAAAAAAATCCGTTAATAATGTCGCTAAAATCAAAATACCGAATATTGCGAGGTACCGTTATGTGGGGACTCTACGAAGACGTGGACCTGCACAGACAATTTTCTGTCGTAGGTTGTAGTATTTATTACGAAATTCAAATACCAAATTTGAAACTATTCCAATGAATAATCTCGCTAAAATCATCAAAAACCGAAAATCAGGAGGTACCGTTATATGGGGGCTATACCAAAACGTGGACCTACATGCCTCATTTTCAATACCAAAAGTCCTGTATACATAACATACATTCGAGCAAAATTTTATCAATCTTCTTCAATACGTTCGGAAGCTAGAGTGATTTCCACAAACGGACATACGTATAGACGGACGGACATTGATAGAATTTTATGCTGAACAAGAATATATATACTTTGTTGGGTCTGACATGAGTATTTCGAGGAGTTACAAACGGAATGACAAAGTTAATATACCCTCCATAGTATGGTGGAGGGTATAAAAATGCTACGGAACGACCGAGATAGATGTCATGATTCCAAAAAAAGCTTCAACATCATGTTATCGAAGTGTTTAAATTACTCTCGTAAATTAATAACAAAGTCTAAAGTCTAGGTTGAATATTGTGATGACCCCACGTTGGGCGCCATATATTTTTTTGTTACGAAAAGTTGGCATCTTTTGTTTTCTATCGAAGAAACCCTGCAGAAGTTAGACATGCAGCATTAATATTTAAGAAACATTCAAATTCTATTGAAATTGTGATAGCCACTGGTTGGGCGCCAACACATTTTTGGGCGCCATATAATTTAAAACTACATTGGACATGCCAATTTGAGACTAGAATATAAAGTAATTTCAACCCATTTATAGCTTAGATTCACAGCAAAAATATTTAAGGAACAGTTAAATTTTGCTTGGGAATTATGATAGTCACACGTTGGGCGCCAAAATTTTTTTTTGTAATGATAAATGTCTACTTTTCGACAGCGATCGAAATAGCTACACAAAGTAGAAGTCTTGTAGGAGTAATAATCGAATATCGAATAATAAAATTCGCCATGGAAATAGTAATAGGCACTCGTTGGGCGCCACATATTAGAAAAATATTGGAAGTCAATTTTTAAGATTAGAAATTATATTAATTTTAACCCTTTATTTGTAGCTTCAAAATCATTGAAACCGGCTATTCAATTTGGAAATATTTGCATCATCAACACGTTGGGCGCCAGTTATTTATTTTTTGATCGTAGAAGTCTATCTCTTACATATCTCTTGCTTTCAAAATTTATATTTAAGGAATACTCAAATCCAGTTTGTATAAATTGGAAGCCACACGTTGGGCGCCATTTATTATTAGGAGAGAAGTTTATTTAAGAAATAACCAAATCTATTTTGGAAATTGTAATAGTCGCAGTTTGTTTCGTTTTTTTCGTGAATAATTTGCAATGCCGAAATTCACGCTGAAAATTGTAATTACCCCTGTTTGGGCTCCATGGATATTCAAAATGTTGATCCTTTGTGGGGGAGGTACCAGAAGAAGTGGACCAAATCGGATGCTCCCTTGGAGAGTTATCGTGTGCACCAGCCAGACAGACGGACTGAAAGACACCGCTAGATCGACTCCAAATGTCCTTAAACGTACCATCGCTCGTTACCGTGATACTGGTAGCGTAGCCCGACGTCAAGGTGGAGGTCAAGTGGACGGAAGAAAACAGCAACATCAGCAGAAATGATTCGAAAAGTAAAGAAGCGACTTGATCGAAACCCACCAGCGTCGCAGTGGCTGAAAAATGACCCATGAGCTGAACATATCGCTATATTCCATTCGGCATATATTAAAAAATGAGCTCGGGGTAAAGCCATTGAAATTCCAAGATATGCAAGAACTTACACCGCAACAGAAAGAAAATAAACTCAAAAGAGCACAAGAGTTGCTTCGCTTGGCCGAAAGTGGTGAACTGCCGAATTTAGTTTTCTCCGATGAGAAAACATTAATTGTCCAGCAGTTTGTAAACAACAACAAAACAAAATGATCGTGTTTACTTGCCAAAGAGGTCAGCTGAAAATGTGCATTTTCGGTTAGCCACCAGAAAAAGGAACTCAAGCGCCGGTTATGGCGATAGTGTGGGCCACAATACAGCCGATGGTCGCTCTCCGCTCGTATTAATCGACCGTGGCATCAGAATAAATGCCGAATATTATCGCGAAAATATTCTGAAGGGTGTATTAAAGCCTTGGGCAGACCTTGGACATTCCAACAGGACTCAGCACCATCTCACTCAGCACGCACCGCCCAATAATGGTTACAAAATGAAATTCCTCGTTTCATTTCCAGCGCACAATGGCCACTAAAATCTCCGTATACCAATCCGTTGGACTATTGTGTGTGGAGTATTTTGGAAAGCAAGGTTGGCACAAAAAAATACCAAAGTG